TATCTTCTTGTCTTTTATGGTGTTAGGGAAGTTTTCTTCCAATAAATTTCTGTATGTTGCTTTTTTTTTTTTTCTTTCTTGTCTCTTCCTGTTCTGGAATTCAAATCACACATATTTTATCCCTCTTGATGGTGTCCCACATAATTCTTAGGCTTTCTTCAGATTTTTTTGTTTGTTTTTTCTTTAGCAGATTAGTATCAAGAGATTTGTCTTCATGATCACTAGTTTGGTCTTCCATTAATTCAATTCTACTCCTTTGCTCTTTCAGTGTATCTGTTTCTGAAATCCTAATATTAATCTTCTAGATTTCTATTTGTTGTTTTTGCACTTTTTTTTTTTCATTTATTTTGTCAATTTGTTCTTGTAATGTTTTCCTGAATTCTTCTAAAGTTTTGTCTGTGCTTTCTTTTATTTCATCTGCACCTTCCTTAATCTTTTTCACAGTTATTTGAAGATACCTAAATATCACTGTTCTGTACTCTTATTAGGTATTTCAAATGCCATTTTTTCCTCAAAGATGTTTTCTGGATCACTTAATTTGAGCCACTCTATCTCGTTTCTTTGTGTAAACTGAAATTGTCTGTTGTTTGGAGACATTGTGATATCTTTGTTGTTGTTGTGTTAGTAAGGGCCATCAAGTCAATTCTGACACATAGTAAGTCTGTGTAGGGTTTCTGAGGAGCAGCTAGTGGGATTGAACTGCCAAGCCAGCAGTCAGCAGTACAGTATTGATCCTAGACTGCCACACCAGGACTCTACATTGTATTTAATTGGTGATTGGATGTTGGTGGGTTCTTAGGCACTCACTACCTGTTTCCTATGGGGTGTTTCAGAGAATTAACGTGTATGCGCAGTTCCTGTTGTTTGTGTAACACAGTTCAGGGTGGGTTTGGCTGATGCTGGCTGTTATCACTGCTCAAGTGGTACAGAAGTGGGTAGTGACCCTTGCCCAGTTTCTGGCCCTGTTGAGTTTCTTTCCTGTTGTTCTGTCCTTCATTGAAAGTGGTGTAGTCATATCTACTATGATTAGAAAGGCCCTGGTGTTAGAGTGGGCTAACTCATTGGCCTGCTGACCATAGGTTAGGCAGTTGCTCCATGGGAGAAAGATGAGGCTTTCTGCTTCCATAAAGATTTATAGCCTCAGAAATTCTACAAAAAAATTGCTATGAGTCAAAACTGACCCGATGGTACATGACAACAACAACAAATGTATTTGTAGAATTGTCTACTCATTTTTTCCGTTCTTTTAAATTTTGATTTATGTATTTTGTGGCTCATGATAAATATCAACATACTCTTTCATTGGGTGTGTTGATATTTATCACGGCTAAGTTCGCTTGTTGAATTGGCTCTTAATCATTAAACACTATATTTCCATGTTTCTTATATTAGTGTTTGCTTTAAAGTCTTGCTATCCTTGTTCCTTTTTAATTATTAAAAAAAAAACTTTTTATTGTGATGTGAGTGAAAGTTTAAAGAGTAAATCAGTTTTCCATTCAACAATTCATACACATTTTTTTGTGATATTTATTGCAATCTCCATAATGGTTCTACTTCCTCCTTATGCCTTCTTTTTCCATTCATCCATCATTCGTATTTGTTTCTGCCTTGTGAACTTTGTCCCTGGGCAAAGGCTACCCTTTCAATCTGGCAGACTGCATACCTCCTTGGTGTTACTGTTCACCTTATGGGCCTGTCTATTGTTTGGCTGAAAACTGAGCATGAAGGGCTTTAGTCTCAGTAATTCCTCTAGTCACTATCAAA